TATATTTACTATATAAATCAAAATGCTGCATGACAATTTCCTGATTGAATGGGACAAAAGAAATTTTAAATGATTGGCTTAAAAAGCGAGAATTCAAGGGTGCAGGTGTGTGCAGATTTTGATTGCTGTTTAGCGATAGTGTGAAAATTTTACATGGCCGTGAATTTTGGGGTGTAGATAAGCTTAAGACTGCTGCAAACTTCTGTAAATGACCACTGGCACTGTACCTTGAGCAACACTCGGTTTTCGGGGACTCACTGGCAGACGATTAGATTATTATTTGAACTGAACTATGTGCCAGTCGGTCATATTTGGAAGTTTGACCTTGAGAGAAGCAAAAAGCACTTGATTTTGGAGTGAAATTTAATTTTTCAAAAATTCGAATGGAGCCTTTCATGCACGATTTTCTCGCGATAACTGAAAGTCAAAAAAGAGAAGTGAGAACAATCGAGTGACAATCGCGGGAAAGTTTGCATATAAATCAGTAGGAAATTGCCATTCGCAATTTCCGAGACAATAATAATAATAATAATCCGAGACAATAGAGTAGAGCTGTCCTATTTGAAATAGAAGACAGAGTGTTCCTGAGAACTGGGCAATTATCCAACTGGTCAACTATTCGAACTGGACCAGAGTGAACCTTCGGTGGAAAGGTGGACAGCTTGAGTGTCCCAATGGTCCACATAAAACTGCATTCTAGAGTACAAACTTCTTCTTGTTGTTGAAACTGGCAAACATTAAACTCATTTAGTTACACTATTTAATTCCTGAGTTCTTTACCGACTTAATTACTCCCAATTCTTGAGAGTGCTACAATGTGAGTACCAATTTAAATTTCTAGAGTGTGTTTTATAATTGTTATGTTGAGGTAAGGCGAGTTTTAGGTTGATCCATCTGAAATGGATCAAAGTTCCACTGTCTAATAAAAAGTAACTTAACGGATTGTTCCCACCCGGTTTTTAACGGCGTTCATGTATTTTGGGTATCTAGAGACCTAAGTATGGGGACGTTCTTAATTCTAGAGTGGGGGATATTTTAGTAGTAGCCTTTAAGCTGTAACGGGTCGTAGTCTCATGTCACAAACGAACCGAATTGGCTCCGACTGATTTGAGGTAGAAAAACACAAGAGATAGTGTCCCTGACTCTTGAGCCAATGGTTATAGGGCCTATTTTTCTTAAGCCTCATGTGTGACTGCAGTAGACGAATGTTACACTAGAGTGAACCTTCGGTGGAAAGGTGGACAACTTGAGTGTCCCAATGGTTCACGAGAAACTACATTCTAGAGTTAAAACTTGTCCTTGTCATTGAAACATTACAACACATTTAGTTACATTATTTAATTCTTGAGTTAATTACCGACTGAAGTACTTCCCTTTCTTGAGTGTGCTACGATGTGAGTACTTAATTTAAATTTCTAGAGTGTGTTTTATAATTGTTATGTTGAGGTAAGGCGAGTTTTAGGTTGATCTATCTGAAATGGATCAAAGTTCCACTGTCTAATAAAAAGTAACTTAACGGATTGTTGCGATCCGGTTTTTAACGGCGTTCATGTATTTTGGGTATCTAGAGACCTAAGTATGGGGACGTTATTATTTCTAGAGTGGGGGGGATATTTTGGTAGTAGCCTTTAAGCTGTAACGGGTCGTAGTCTCATGTCACAAGCGAACCAAATTGGCTCCGACTGATTTGAGGTGGAAAAACACAAGAGATAGTGTCCCTGACTCTTGAGCCAATGGTTCGGGTTACGAAAATCTGTCGGACAAAATAAATGACATCGTCTACAATGTAGAAGATGTTACAAAATGGCTAATTTTTTTAACGTCGTTCTTGTTTTTTTTGGAGCAACCGAAAAGAAGTGGACGCTAACAGACCACAAGCATGAGCTCTTTGATAAATAAAAAAATTCGAGCAAATGACGTGTCACTTCCAAAACCCCATCCCCAAGTTTCAAACCCGCCTCTGAGTGACATCGAGCAGAGAATAAAGTTAATAAGTAGTAAGCTCGATGAAGGAAATGTAAAGGGAGGAATAAGGCTTGCTGCTTCGGATGACAAAATAGCTCCTTTTTCAACTGATAACTATCAAAAATTGTTATCTAAGCACCCGCAGCGAGCCAAATTTGCAGCTCCAAATCCAGAAAAGTTGGATAGTTTTTTCGTAACCGATTTCGACCTATACAAAGCGATAATGTCCTTTCCAAACGGATCAGCAGCAGGTCCTGATAAAATATTTCCTCAAATTTTTAAAGATCTTGTTAGTAAGTCGAATGGCAGTGCAGGACTTAATTTTCTGAAATCGCTTACTAAGCTGATAAACCTCATTGGAGATGGCAAAATACCGGAACCACTAAGACCTTTCTTTTTTGGCGCAAAGCTTATCGCCCTCATAAAAATAGACGGAGGGTTGAGACCGATTGCCATAGGCAACACGCTGAGACGTATCGCGTCTAAATGCGCTGGAAGCAAGGCCCTCTCCGAGCGACAAAATTTTTTCGGAAACGTACAGGTAGGATGCGGTACCAAACGAGGAGCAGAAATAGCTGCGCACTCGTTTCGAAACCTAATTGAACGCGACGACAATCCAAAATGTACTGTTCTTTTAAAACTAGATTTTAAGAATGCCTTTAACTCTTTAAACAGAGAAACAATGCTGAATCATGTTTTTTCAAATCGCCCCGAATTATATAATTACACCCATTGCGCGTATGCTAAACCTAGTTACCTTTTTTACGGAAGCTCTGTCATAATGTCAGAAGACGGAACTCAGCAAGGTGATCCTGAAGCCCCACCCCTTTTTGCGGAAACAATTCATACACTAGTCAAACAGTTGGAGTCGAAAATTAACATCTGGTATTTAGATGATGGGAATTTAGCCGACGACTATAAGGTAGTACTCCGGGACCTTAAAAACATTCTGAAATCGGAACAAATTTACGGCCTGAGCTTAAACACTGAGAAGTGTGAACTTTGTTTTTTGGGACCGACTACTAGTACACAGTATAATTCAATTTTAACACAATTTCGAAAAATATGCCCCAAAATAAACATAAAAACAAAAGAAGAACTCCTCATTTTAGGATCTCCAATCGGCGAACTTTGCCGAAAAGAATTACTCGACGAAAAAATTAGGGAGCTTGAAAAAATCTCGGATGTCATTGACAAACTAGACGCCCATTATGGTTTTTACCTCCTGAAAAATTGCTTTAGCATGCCAAAACTCCTATATTTTTTGCGTACGAGCCCTTGTTTTTTGCAAAATGATTTTTTGGAACGCTACGATAAATTACTAAGAAATTCGTTATGCAAGGTCACTAACGTGAAAATGGATGATAACCAGTTTTTACAAGCAGTTCTCCCGGCAGCCAAAGGTGGCTTGGGCGTTTCTTCCGCTCGTCTACTCGCTTTACCCGCTTTCTTAGCCTCAGCAGTAGGAGCGAAAGATGCCTTGAGCGAAATCTTTGGTTTGGAGCATGTGGATGGAACCTATAATGATGCGCTTAAACGGTGGTTTGACCTTGGAAAAATTGAAATGGCTCCGGAAAATGAAATCCAAAAAAATTGGACGGAGCCAATTTTTGACAGCGAAATTGCAGACTTGATTTTACGACTCGAACCAACGGACGTGAAAAGGTTCAACGCGTTCCAAGATAGATTTGGATCCCAATGGTTGAACGTCATCCCCTGCAAAAATTTAAGGTTAAAACTATCGAACCAACAACTCAGAATTGCGATAGGACTTCGATTAGGATCAAAAATATGTGAACGGCATAAATGCGTGTGCGGAAAAGACGTTACCGAGGATGGTTGGCATGGTCTTTCTTGCCTCAAAAGTGCAGGGAGATTCTCTAGGCATTCAAACCTGAATGCCCTTATAAAGCAGAGTCTATCATCTACTCACATTCCGTCTGTTTTAGAACCACGACACCTCTACAGGACCGATCAGAAGCGACCAGACGGTTTGACGCTCGTTCCATGGGCTGATGGTAAGCAGCTCTTGTGGGATGTAACGGTAGTAGACTCCTTAGCTCCTTGTAGGATTAATGCCGGGTCTGTTTGTAACCCTGGTACGGCTGCCGCTGAAGCGGAAGAGCGAAAAATTGACAAATAAAGATCTTGTAAATGATGGATATCTTTTTCAACCGCTAGCTTTTAAAATTCAGGGCGCGGCCGGCCCCAGCACAGAAGTTTTTTTGAGCAAGCTTTGTAAGAACCTAAGCATATGCACTGAGGAACCCAGAGCAGGCAGCTTTTTAAAACAGAGAATCTCCCTGGCAATACAGATTGCGAACGCCGCTTGCGTACTCGGAACAATAAATGACAAAATAACTTTCGACGAAATTTTTTACTTGTAACACTTGTATATTATATTATCTCGTGTCGAGTTGCGTGTTCTTATTGAAGAAGCGTAACCCGTATCGATTTTAAATGAAAAGGACTTAAACACTTGACATCTTCTTTTATCATTATCACTTCTATATCTAGAAAATTCCAAGGATTTTGACTGGAATACATGATGAAGGGACTCATGACTGTAACCTCGGTTACTATGATACTTTTGACCTTCTGATTACCTCATGAAAAAAAAAAAATGGTTAGAGGGCCTATTTTTCTTAAGCCTCATGTGTGACTGCAGTAGACGAATGTTACACCGATTGAGGTAGAAAAACACAAGAGAAAGTGTCCCTGACTCTTGAGCCAATGGTTAAAGGGCCTAATTGCTTTCCAGTTTTCCTATTTTTAATGTGCTTCTAATTTGTACAATTTTGCTATTTTTAATTTACTGATGATGACATAATGTCGAAAACGTTTTACCATTGATGTTTTTTCCCTGAGATCAGGCCTATTTTTCTTTAACATCATGTGTGACTTAAGTAGGCGAATGTTACATAGGGCCATCCCGGATGAAAAGTTTCGGAATTCTAAATTCCACGTGATGAGGCATAGATGACTTGGCAGTTGTTGCGCTGAGGCCTATTCATCTAAATCGTTGTTTAAGTCCGTCTTTTTCAGATATCTATGGAAAATGCGTTTTTAGTAAATGGAAAAGCTTGCAGTATTCTTGAAATTAACAGCCATCAAAGTATAATTAACTCGTACTCTTCACTCTCCAAAGTTAACTCGGAAGGAGGAACTGTGAGAAGTGGCTCGTCACAGCTAACTGAGCCTCAGTACAGTGGTCCTCAGAGGCAATTCGAAAATGACTGCCCAGTGCTTCATTTGATCATCGCAAAATCGTCTATTTTGAAACGGCAGACGCTCACCGAATGTCTGATTTTTGTGTCAGATATTATTGCGCTTGATTCACACAATGATATATGTAAAAGCAAAGCTGTAATTGGAAACTACTGTAAATGCAAATATGCTAAGTTTCCCTATTTCTTCATCCTTTACTACGTAGAGCGCGATAAGAAAAGAAAAGCCCAATGGTGCTTGAAGTCATTGTTGATCGAGTCGCAAGATTCCCGTCGTCTGCAGTCCCTATTCGTAAAAGTGGAGGCTGCCTTTGAAAAAGTTAAAGAAAACTGTACGAGGCCAAGGAATTTGCTAGTAATTGTAAACCCTTACGGTGGAGCTGGAAAAGGAATCAAAATCTGGGAGCGGCAAGCTAAACCGCTGTTGAGGCTAGCAGATATCGAGTTAGATATTACACTAACGGAGCGTGCTGGCCATGCTTTCGATTTGTGTTATAATCTTGATTGGTCAAAATTTGACGGCATTGTGGCAGTTGGAGGAGACGGAATCTTGAACGAATGCATCCATGCTTTTGCAGCTCGCAAGGAGGAGGGTCAGTTCACCCGTTGTCCAATCCCTTTTGGTTTGATACCGGCAGGATCAACCAACTGCATTAATGAAGTAGTAACTGGCGTTGTAAACGTTACTAGTACTTGTTTGCAGATAATAACTGGCCAGAGTTTAGGCATCGATGTCATTTTTCTACGTGATAATCATTCAAAAATGCTGGTTCGGGTCTCTTTTTGCAGCGTTGCATATGGCTTTTTTGGGGATGTTCTAATCAGAAGCGAAAAGTTACGTTGCATAGGTCCTATAAGGTACATTATTGCTGGTGCATTATCTTTCATGCACTTGCGCACCTACCGCGTTGAGACGGAGATCGGAATAGCAGATGTTCCCCATTGGGACATATTGGACGACAGTGAGATGTGCGTTGTGGACCAGGAAAAGAAGGCCTGTTCGATTTGCGACGCAATGAAGGATTCAAGGGAGAAAGTTCCCGTGAAGCGAGTAACCCATATCAAAGCAAGAGTAGCTTATCTTCAGGTAATTGGATTTGTTATTCCGACCATTTGAAAAATCGGGAGGAACTTTGTCTTCGGATGTGTTTTGGGTTTTTTCTTTTTATTTTCCGTTCACAATTGGATACCACAAATAATCGGAATGCGGCGATTGATATACCATATTAAAGCCCCTTTAGTCGTGAAAAATTTTCTCAGTGTCGAGAAAAGCCGGTTTGATTTTTTTTGGTCTAATTTTGAGCTGATAAAATGAGCGTGCAGGCTTACAATAGCTTATTTACACTTGCGAGCCAATGTGTTATAGTACGAGCTTTTTTTGTTGCCACTTAAAGCAACAGTTTTTGCTGCATGGATTTGGCATGACAGCTTATTTGTTGCACCTTTGCAGCTTATTGATAACATGTGCTTTGAAATTCGAATAGTTATAAGTTTACACAGTTGATGCATATTTAATTCATCAAGTGAACCGAAAAAAAGCTATTTGTTGCGAACAACTTAACAATATTTAAATCTCAATCTCGGGAATCAAAAAATTCAAAAAACTCCAAACGAATATTCTACTTTTTTTGTTCAGGTCTTTGTATCACGTTACGCAGAAAAAACGACACTCTTTTCGAATAACATTTTTTAAAAGTTTTTTGTATGATTTTTTTGAAGATTTTTGTATGGCCGGAACATTCTGTAGGACTTGCACAGTAACCGGCTATCTTTGTTTTAGATTTGAGTTTACCGTTATTTGTGTGCATTAATCATTGGGGCTCTTTTCCAGTTTCCCCCCCCCCCCCCCCCACCTTTCAAATTCAATTTTGAAAAGCTTATTTAACGTTGTCATAATGCAATGAAATTTGGCGTGGTGAACAAATCGACAATTCTGAACAGATTTGTTCTTCATACTTAACAGCGTAACATCACGCATTTAGCCGTAATAACACGTAAAACAAACATAAAACTCGGTAATTTGAAAGGGGGGGGGGACTGGAAAAGAGCCATCATTGGCTAAATAATGAATTGTGATTAGGTTGTGGCGAACAGCTGTGCGTGTAAGCAGAGCAAGTTGGGAATTTCACCGACTGCTCACCTGGGCGATGGCACAATGGATGTGGTATTCGCATGCGAGACGAAATGCAAACATTTGGATGCTCTGCGTATGCTGTTTATCCATAACACCAAAGCAGACAGGTTCGGAGTGGACTTCATGAGACCTTACAGGGCATCCCACGTGAAGATCAAAGTGCTGCCGCCGAAGGAGACGAGTATGAATGAGACAAAAGAAGGAGGGCAGGCAGCAACCACTGCCACAGCATCCAGAAGCAACTTCACCAGTTACCTCACTCGCAAGACATCCGCCGTGTTCTCGTCCTCATCGACCAGACACAAAAACAAAAAACGACACCAAACGCCAAAAAACAACGGAGTCGGATCATCTCAACCAGGCTGCCCGCCCAGTCCCGCTATGGCCAGTGGAGCGCCACCCACGGAACACTCGGAGTCATCGCGAGGGGAAGACGAAGACGAAGGTGCTAACATGGTTTCTGTCCAGCCCAATGACCCAAGCATCCAGGCTCCGAATAGAAGTAGGTTCAGAGACAGAGAAGCCTCACCAAGAGTTATCTCAGGCGAGGATAGTGACATGGGTCTGATGCCGCAAGTAGAATCAGAAATTAATGACGCGCTCAATACTGGGGAGGATTCGCTGGACAGCGAAAGTGGCCAAAGGGTGTTCACGTTCATCAGTGGAAGGCGCTTCGGAAGATACAGAAACAGACATGAAAAGGCGGAGAGAAGAGAGCTGCGGATGAAAGAAAAGGCGGCGGCGGTCGCGGCAATGGCAGCAGTAGACAAAGACATAAATGAACATTCCAACATGCATTACTGTTCAGATGATGCTGAAGGTGCGGGCGACTGCGAGATCTCCAGAGCGCCCAGTTTGAAGCCGGACTCGTTTTCCCACATGTGGATTGACACTGAAAACATGAATGCTCTGTGGAACATCGACGGGGAGATATGTGAGAGCAATGTGTTGACTCTGGAGCCACAGTGTCAGTTCGTGTCCTTCTTCGGAGCCAGACCTCCCCCGCCTCCTTCTGCACTGCACTCCAAAGGGGGGAAACAAAGAGGAGGTAATGATGGTTGTTTAGATGTTAGTGGGATTGTGGGCGCAGAGGCTGTAGTTGCAACTGACCATTATGATTTGTTACAGAAAAGAAGAAAAGCAAGGAAAAGAAAAGACAGTACAAGCAGCAGAAAGGGTCATCATCACGCTCAGCAGCAGCGTCGCACGCATATACTGCCAAGGGGCAGGCGACTGTCGACCTACGTCACCAAAATGATCCCGGAGGAGAGGCGGAGAACGAGAATCAAGAAAGTGGACAAGGAGAAGAAGAGGAAGAAAAAGTGGGAGAGGAGAAAGAGGAAGAAGATGGAAGCGGAGAAGCAGCTGCAGAATCAACAGCAACAGCAAAGAACAGCCGCAGCAGCAGCACTAGAAAATACATCTCTTCCAGACTCTGAGGTGCTCCTCAAGGGGTTGGATGGGAAGGGGGAAGAGATAGAGGAGGAAGATGGAGGGATACAGTCTATTCAGTTTGTGAACAGCATCTCAATCCAGAGGCCACACCTCTTGCAACAGGCCAGTGGGTTCCGACAAAGAGTCGGAGAGAGCGATTAACAAGAAGGACGCCCAACGGCACAACTTGACTCATATCTGACCTGCAATGCAATAAATGCCACAACAACACAACATATTAAACACTTTAAAAGACAACACAACACTCAAAGTGCAAGCAAAGGACCTGACCACCGACGCCAATTCTGAAGGTGCTCCTCCTCTCCTATCACTCACTTTACTGTCATTCGTTTGTTAGTTTTGTTTGTTCCTTTTCCTTCCCATATGTCTCGGTGGCTTAGATTACTTTTCTGCTCGTTTCAATTTGTATGCATGCATTGCTCTCCCCCTCTTACTCGTCGACCATTTCGGGTGGGCTGGACTGGATGCAGTTTCATTTGAAGTAATAATAGTTTTTTGATGTAGCAGACCAAAGTGAAACTTATCCATTCATCCATCCACTTTTGTTTCTTAAAGAAGCAACGAGAACTGTCATTCTAATTGACTGCTCCTTTTCTGTTCTGATGCCAATTCATTTGATTTGATTTGATTTGATTCATGTACATATGTGTTCGTGATCACACCCGATCTCTTATGTTCCTTCTCAAATTTTAGTTGTAAAAAATAGACTGATAGAATTTGAAATGTTTCAATTGATCACTCGTTTTACTCTAGAATCCAAGCTCCATTTCATCGCCATTCTGTCATTGGTGAACAGAAATTGTTCAAGTTTTAGGTTTTACTGACCAAATTTTTTCCAATAGTTTTGTGTGTGCAACTAAGCTTTGTGGGTTCAAAAGCATGTTTTAAACTGTGTTCTCAACGATTACTTTTTCTGCCTTTTTCATTGTTGTAATTTTTTGAAAGATTTAGGGTTCAAGCTTTAATCTGCAAATTTTTTTGTTTGAAATGGCTGAAGAGCTTGTTTCAAAAATTTCAAACTAGCTCATTTTGATAAAGAAAAGTTGAATTATCCTTTTTAACACTTGCATACGATACTTTTGTATCGGTACCCTTAAAACGTTCTTTTTCCTTTGAGATGATTTTGTGTTTGTTTTTCAGGATAGTCTTTAAATTTGTTCTCGCTAAAATTCGATTTTTATGCTTTTGATTTTTTACATTTTTTCTTTTGTTCAAAGGAAGGCAATTTCCACTATCAAACAGCAAAAGTGTAAACGTCACGAAAAATTTGATCGACTTCTAGTTTCGAAATGGAAATTTAGTTTTTGACAGTCATAATTTCGTCTTGAAATTCAACGAGGATTGAGGCCAAATGTTTTTGTACTTCGAAATTCCAAAGTTGAAGTATTTTTCATAAACACGTCAGTTTTTTTCTGTTTTCTTGCGTTCATTGACTCTTACAACTCTGTTGGCTTTCTTTGTTGTCGTTTTTCGGCTTAATAAATTTCGGCCTATATTATATCGGCCTAGTGGCGTCATTTCCTGTCTTTTGTTAAAGAAAAGAAGATTTTAATTGCGAATATGTGTTTAAGTTTCAAAACTTTCTTAGTTAGATTTTTTTTCGATTTTTTTTCGCCTTACATGAAGTCTTTTTTCGTCATGGTTTCTTAGCGCTTGGTAATTTTCTTCCGATGAATAATCACGTTATTTTGTCTTTGCTTGTTTTTGCCTGAAAACCTGCTTCATTCATTTTGAAAGATTTTCGATTCTCTGTAGTTTTTTTCCACTAAGTGGCTTTATTGTTTCGTATCGCAAGTGGTTTCTTGTTTCGTTATCCTATAGGTCTACAAAGAACAGGAATTAAAAGTAAGGTTAAGATCAGCATTAGAACAAGGAGTTGCACGAGCCTAGCCTTCCGGAAAAAAAATAGTTTCGTGCAACTCTGTCCGAACCCATCTCATCTCGGGCGACCAACAACTAAAAACCAACTTAGAATAGAAACAAAAAATAATGGCCTTGCATTTCTCAGTCAGTTTTTGTTTTAGGGGAAATTTTTCGAGACTCGTTGGTCGCATCAGATGAGATGGGTTCGGTTTGCTATCGTTTACCGACAGATATGTTCATGCAACTCCTTGTTACAATACTGATTACTCTTGCGAATCGGAATATACACTTTTTCGGGTTAACATCTTGCTCAACAGAATCAATTGTATTTTGGTTCATATTGAATTCAAACTTCTATGCGTATCTGGCACTTATTCTGGAGATGAAGAATACGCCTGGGTCTGCTAGCTTGTATAGCTATTCATATGTTGCATCGCAAATAATGCCAAGCTGCGCTTCGACTCTGTCTTAATCTTACTTTTATTTTTATTTTTTGTAGATCTATAGGAATATTGTAAAAGGGGAATGTTGTGAGATCAACTTTCTATCTTATTCAATATTGATCTGGCTAGTGAAGCTAGTAGATGTTTACCATAAGTCAGTCGGTAATTCTTGTAAGGGTCCAAATGTGCCATCATGTTCCTTTTTGCTGCTCATCATTCTTGCCAATTTTTGTTTTGTTTAAATACTCGTGACTCCTTAATGGCCTCCTAATTGTTCGTACTCAGCACTAGCCCTTTCCATTGTTTTTTTTTTAAGTTTCTACAGTGCCTTAAGCGGCCTCTGAAAAACGTTTCGAAGCCAATATAGCTCAGATATTTTAAGCGCTCTTCTGTGCTGAAACTCGTTTGAAAAACAAAGCCTTAGCCTTCATTTTTTTCATCAAGCAGAGTTGAGTTAAACAAGAAAATTCAGCGTATGCCACTTTCTATGCGCCGTTCGAAAATCTGGTGCGAGCTGCTGTATGATTTCTGGCTTTGGATGAAGGCAATCGACTGATATGTGTCGTCGAAATCTACTTTTTTCATTTTCGCGTACGAGGTTCCGTTTGTTTCAGCCACATGTCTATAGCACTTGTTCAGCCGCTTTATGGTGGCATATCGATACTTCCGACCAATCTTTTCCATAATTGGTTTTGAGTACGTGCAGTTAAGGTACGTGCAGTTAATCTGTTCTTTTAGTCGAATAAACAATTATTTTTTTTTCATAATGAAGGCTAAATTTGCTCAATTTGAAGTCTGAAAATATAATCCGTTATAGTTTTTTTTGCGAATTTTGCAAGAAAGTTCCATTTATTAGCGATGAACTCAACGCATAATGATGTTTTCCGGACAATATTTCAATATTTGTCATACGCTTTGCAAAATTTTCAAACTGATTACGCGAACGTCTCAAGCATCAAGAGTTCTATTTATGATCTCGTTTAGAGAAAATAGATGACTGAACAGATTCACGAACAGTAGTACGATTGCTTAAAAAGGTATTTTTAAAGAGATTTTTGAAAACATCTGGGTAAGTTTAGTTTTTATACTTGCTTGATAGACTTCCACATTTTTTCAAATTCATCTATAGCATAACTGCTGTTCAACATGGTGTTATCTGCATAGGTTTGATAGTACAAGCAAGTTTTTACAAGGATAGTTGATCATAATCTTAAATAACTACAAAAAAGGGTTTTCTTTTTTTTAATTGAAGTTGTTGTTTGTACGCGGTTTGATGAGAAAACTATATAAACGTTTGAGAAAAGTTTTGTGAATAAGTCATCGACATCATTCGTCCAAAAAATGAATAAACAAAAAAAATGAACAAAAAATTATTTATTTTTGTCTAGGTAGCGCTAAATCTATCTATTATATATTTAAATGCGGGCTTAACTATCTCGCCTTGCTTAGCTTTCTCAACGTATTATTTTTGCATGTTTAACGAAAGAATTTTTGCTTGTTTAAGCTATATCGTATATTGCAATGGTTAAGATTTTTTTGATTTTCCAGTTTGATTTCAGTGGTAATTCCACCGAGTTTAAAATAGGCAGCCTAATAGTGGGACGCTGTCAGGATTCCCCAAGGTTTGCGAATTTGGCCTCCAATTAAGAATGCTCAAATCATTTATGTGTATGAGATACGACGATTTTTGTGATTAAAAAAAAATTTTTTTCAGAAAACAATTTCCAAATCGAATTTAACAAACCTGAAATTCCCAACCTTGTAGTTATGTGCTGTCAGAGTACTCTCAGGTGTTGCGAACCTTGCCTCCGATTATGACTACTCAAATCTTTGTAGTTTTTGAGATATAACGTTTTTAGTGATTTTTGTTTAAAAAGTGAATTATTTTTTTTTCTTCAAAATTTGAATTTCTCTTCCCTGTAGTTGAGTGCTGTTAAGGTACTCTCAGGGTTGCGATTAATCTTGCCTCCAAATATGACTGCTGGAATATTTGGAGTTTTCGATTTCAGACGTTTTTGGAATTTGACGGAAAATTGGAATTTAAAAAAATTTATAAAGTTTGAAAGTACCAACCCTGTAATTGGGTGCCGTCAGAGCGCACTAAAAGCCTTCAGATCTGTTTTCCAATATATGTGGTTTTTCATGAGTTGTCAAAAATTGGAAGCACCGGAGGAGCGTTACACGCTAGTAGTTTTGATTTTACTGTAATTCGCCTAAAATTTGACTAAAACTCAAAAGTTTCAAATCGGTTTTTCTTGTCCTTGGGAAAATTTTTCCTTAAGTTCTTCCGAATGAAGGCTGAAAGGGGCGTTATATTGTAAATCGCTCGACCCATTATGATGATTATTTGTGGTACTTAATTTTGCGTGGAAAACCAAGTGCAAAAAAACTAAAACACCCGAATCCAAAGTTCCTCCCCATTTTCAATGGTCGGTGCGAAAACCTGTTCTAGTTGTCGAAGTATAGACTGAAGAGCCAAAGGATGATAGCAAAGAGGATTCGATATACCCTATGTATCTTGACACGTTCTATTCTGTTACTGAGGTAAGATTAGGTCAGATTTTTGGCCGATGCTTAAATGTTTCAAGTCAAATTACCCATGATCAATGGTATCAAATGCAATGCTGCAGAAAGCTCTATGACAATGAAAGTTATCCAGCACGAGTAAAATGTCATTGGATTTTTTTAAGCATGTCATGAGGCGACCTTCGGTACCTCATTCTATTCTATTTACTTATGTATGTCTTATATAACTATGACTTAATTATCTACCTATAGTGCCGTAAACTGACTCAAGGACAAATCTCACCAGCCAAATCGTTTGTCACTTGAGAATCTGAAGCGGCCAGTTGCGAAAGCTTTATGTGTGAAATCTAGTCGATAAAAACATTCGTGTTAATCAAAACAATCTATTCAATCTGAAATCGTTATTTCTATACACATTATTCTATTCTATCTATTTATATATCATATTTAATTCAGTATTCGATTTTTACAAACCTGTTTTCCCTACTCCAACTGAGAGAAATCTCATGGCGCAGCCAGCAGTTCCTGTGAATGAAGACAGGACTGAACTACTCGGAATACCACCCTTTTGGGCGAAAACATCGGTTAACCCACCTTTTTTTTGGGAGACTTGGGTGGGACAGTTTTTCTTGGCCGTTAGTCTCAAAGACAATATTTCACCGCGGGAGGTACTAGTTGCCCCAGCAGAGTTAGTGGACGAACCTTACCCGAAGCACCGGGGATTGATGAAATTGCAGCAGATGTAACCAATAGGAACCTCCGATTTGCAGCAGCTAATAGAAGAATCGATGAGTACAATCAAGAGAGGAGGAGAAAAGGACCTCGCATTGGACATAACTGGTGTTACCCTGACGCGGAGGCGCGTTTGAAATTGCGACTTTTCTTCGCACTGGGAAATGAGGG